AGCACTCGCGCCAGCTCCAGCCACAGCTCAGCCACAGCTCGCTGAGGAGTCAGACTCCTGTCCCTGCCCACCACCATGGACGTCTTCAAGAAGGGCTTCTCCATCGCCAAGGAGGGCGTGGTGGGCGCCGTGGAGAAGACCAAGCAGGGGGTGACGGAAGCAGCTGAGAAGACCAGGGAGGGTGTCATGTATGTGGGTGAGTTTGGGCGTGGCAGGGCGGGGCGGCTTGGTGCCCGGAGGCCAGGGTGCCCAGTCACCTTGGGTCTGACCTTGTCCCCCAGCCCCAGGGAGGCATTTTCGGAGGGAATGAGGACCTAGGTGTTGAGTAAGGGTCTCCGGGCCCTGGAGCAGCCCTACGCTCCTGCACACACACGTGTCTGTTTGGGCCTCCTCAGGGCCCCAGGGGATTCTGAAGCAGGGCAGAAAGGGGGGTACTCAGCTCTCAGACACACCTGTCTGTGCACACACAAATGCACTCACAAACGCACCCCAGCGTCCCCCTGCCCTGGCATCACCCACGGGCCCCTTGACTCAGATAAGAAGCCACGCTGAGCCTGGAACCCCTATGGGCTGAGCAGGCAGGTGCCCAGTAGCCGGGCCACAGGTCCCCACCCCACTCAAAGGGAAGGAGTGGGGCTGGGGAGATGAGACCCAGGCTCAGTGTCCTGTCAGCCCCATCCCCCTCAGCTCCCTCCGAAGATGAGGCCGAGTTGATGACTCAGCCCTCACGGGCCCTGTCCTGCTGCTGCTTCCAAGACCCAGGCCATACCCAGGCAGGGTCCGGACCCTACCTCAGGCCTGGTCTCCCTCATCCCCCCATCCTGTCCTGTCCGCTTCCCATCCGTCCACTTCCTCCAGACACAGCAGGAAGCCTTTGAAGGGATTGCCGCCCCTAGATACCATCCTCGCTGGCTCCCAACCCAGCAGCTTGTCCAGATGTTCTGTCGTGTGTCTGCCTGACCACTCCCCTCCCAACTCTGGGAGGAGGGGGCCTGGGCTGACGCCTCCATTTCCTCCCCAGGAGCCAAGACCAAGGAAGGTGTTGTGCAGAGTGTCACCTCAGGTGAGGAGCCCCAGCACCAGAAGACGAAGCGCTGGGACCTCCAGGGACTTCTGTACCCTGGGGCTAAAGGCTCAAGCCCAGGGCACTACTTACCTCGTAACTGGGGTCCCAAGCTGTCCATTGTCCATGGAGCCAGACCCCTCCAGAACCTGAGGTTAGACCCCGGGCGGGCCACCCCCATCATCATCAGAGCTCCCCTACAGTCAGAAAGGGTGCAGCCTAGGTTCCCCGGTAGAGCCAGAATTTTGAGTGCCCTGGGAAAGGGCTGATCTGCCCTGACTCGGGCAGGCCAGGCCTGGTGGGGAGGGGTTAGGACCAAGGCCAGCTAGAGTCCTCCCACAGTGGCTGAGAAGACCAAGGAGCAGGCCAATGCTGTGAGCGAGGCCGTGGTCGCCAGCGTCAACACTGTGGCCACCAAGACCGTGGAGGAGGCGGAGAACATCGCAGTCACCTCTGGAGTGGTGCGCAAGGTGAGCCCGGGCCCGGCCCCGGCCCTCAGACCAGCCTCATTCTTCCCCCGCCCCCACCCCACCCCTGCGCGCAGTGTGGCCGGAGGGGAGGAGGCATTGTCCCCCGCCAACTGTCGGAGACTTAGGGCCTGGTCTGTGCTTGGTGTTTCATGCCCGTTGGCGCCTGGAATCCCCACAGCAGCCCCTGGAAGGGGGCAGTTTGGGGTCCCACTTGAAAGTGAGGCTCAAAACCACGCCCTCTTGCTGGTGCTCAGCATTTAGGAGGTGCCCCATTCTACTAGGGAAAGCAGAGTCTTGTGGGCCCCATGTGGTGACAGGCAGCCTCCCCGGCAGTGGACAACAGGCCAGAGCTGCCCAGTCACCGCCTCCTGGCGTCCAGCCTGGTGGGCTGGCACCTCCTCCCAGGAGGAGCAGGGAAGCAGCGCCCCCTAGTGACAGAAAAGCAGTGAGGGTTCCAACCCTGCCCTCCACCTCCGCCTTTGTGAGTGTGTGTATATGTGTTGTGTGAGTGTGCACAGGAGTGTGCCTGTGTGCAGCCCGGCAGCAGAGAGCCAGGAGCAGTGGGGCCCTCCCAGGAGGGGGAGGCCGGCTGGGTGAGCTGTCCCAGCACCCACCACAGAGCAGGCCCTGCCTGAAGCATTTTACACAGATTAACTCATTTAATCAGCTCGTCAGCACAAAATCTCATGAGACAGGGCGTGGAAATAAGGCCCAGACAGACGAAGTAATGTGCCCAGGGTCCCGTGGCTGGTACCAGTGAGCCTGCAGTTCCGAGGGCAGCCCGGCCCCTGAGCCCGTGCTCTGAAAGAGAGATTTCATCGTTGGTGGAAGGTCATGCTGGAAGTGGCTTCCTACTGGGGGGGTCGGGTACAGGCCACTCAGGGTGGAGTCCGAGGTGGCCAGCATGGAGAATCTCTGCTCCCGGGAGTGGGTGAGGGCAGGGGAGGGGGCCTCCTTGCCCCTGGTTCTGGGGGCAGCAGGTAGGCGTCTGCTTCCAGGGCCAGTCCAGGGTCTCCATGTCCCTGGAGCAGGCAGCTGCTCCCTCTCCCAGTTCCCAGCTCTGCCCCTTCCTAGCTGTATGACCCTGGGAAGCTACTCAACCTCTCTGGGCCTCCCTGTCCTCATCTGTAAAGCAGGGAGTGGGGGGATGAGAGCATCCGTCTCCCTGGGCTGTGTAATGCTGCAGGGAAACGGCCCTCATGATGCAGTTACACCTGGCTCAACGTGAGCACCCAGCAAAGGGAGGTGACCCTATCCTCATCATCATCAGTGCTCCTGGGCAAGAGATGCCAGGCCCTTCCCTTCCTCACCCCCAGCCAGAAGAGGGCCTGGGGTGGGGCCAGGCTGCCCCTGGGCCTCTTAGAGGGAGCCCAGGCACTCCTCTCTGACCTTTGAGGAGGGCTGGTGAGCCCCTGGAGCCACTCCAGGCCCTGGGGTGGGGGTGGCTGCCCCAAAGGAAACACTTCCTGGTGACACCCAGAAACCAGTCACAACTTACCCTCCAGTGAATTGTAGAAGAATGCAGCGCTGTCTGTCTAACTGCTCACACCGCTGGCCTCACGTATCCACCGTGGGGCAGCAGGACAGGCAGGTGGCCACCCACCCTTCACCTGGTGAGCCTGCCCCAACTATGGCTGACATAGATTTTGGTACGCCTTTATGCCCCACGGGGCAGTCCGCCAAGGGGCAGGATGGCCCTGTGGTAGCACAGAGGTGGCAGGACCCTCCAGAGGTAGATGGTGAGAGCAGGGCTGATCACTAGCTGACACATGACCACCTCGAGGCAGGCCCCCATCTCAGGCAAGTGTCCAGCTGGATGTAGGGGAGTAGAAGGAGACGGGAGGTAGGACAGGATTGTATAAACCCTGCTGGCCCTGACCAGACCAGCCTGAGCCCAGAGCCCATCCAGGAAGCACAGAGAAGGAAAGAAGGAGGCACTTGTTCTACTGGGGATAGGGATGGGCCTGGAGCAAGCCAGACTTGATCTCTACAAACCTCACTCCTTTGAGCTGGATACCCACCTCCCTGGCCTCAGGGCTGGGGTGTGAACAGAGATGACACGCCTCTCCTCCTAGGGCTGTTTGGGGGCTCACAGGACAAGGGTGTGTGATCACGTGATTCAGGGACACTGAGGGTGGTGTCAGGCCTAGGGCTTCAGGGGCCACTGCCCACCCCCCGCCCCCAGGCTCCCTCATCGAGGAGGCCCAACCAAGGGCTGCCCAGAGACTTGGCATCAGCTTGGGGAGAGGTGAAGCTGGGCTCCAGGGTACTTCGTACCCCCAGAAGGCCTTGGCATCATCAGAGAGAGCCCCTGCTGTGGGTCCTTACATGGGGCTCTGTCACCCCCAACATCAGTCTGGTCCTCACAACTCCCTCCCCTCAGGCCCTCCACATACAGCAAGTGATGAGGGCCTGTGCTCATCTTCGAGGCCAGGGTGGACGAGGCCTCACCTTCCACATGGTCCCACATCCCCTTTGCTCCCCTACAGGAGGACCTGGAGCCAACTGCCCCCCCACAGGAGGACAAGGCAGCCAAAGTGGAAGAGGAAGTGGCTAAGGAGGTAGGAGGTGGGCTCCTGGGGTCCACCGGGGGTCTTTGGGCAGCCTCTTTCCCTCCCAGAGGCCCCAGGAGCCTCTTGACCTTCTGCAGCCCCCTGCACCCGAGTGTGAGTCCCCCTCATGAATGACCCCTCAGGGCAGAGGGCATAGATGACTCCTGTCCCCACACTACTCGGGGTGGCCACTAAGGGGTGGGGGTCCAGAGCTGTGTGTGAAGGTCACTGTCTCTCCCAGGCCAGGAGTGGGGGAAACTAGAGGGCTGTAATCGGCTGTGGAGCCAGGAGAAACGCCCCTGGCTTGGACGCATCCCTTCCAGCATGAGGAGTGCCCGGCCCTGGACTGTGACCTGCGAGGCTGCCTGTGGTCCCCACACCTACACGCCGCTGCCCACGGGCCTGTCCTCCCGTGCTGCTGCCACCATATTCACCTCCCTCCCCTCCTGCACTCTGGTCTTTCTGACCCACAGATGCTGCTGTGAATTTTTTTTTTTTAATGATTCCAAATAAAACTCAAGTCCCCACCTTTGGCCACACCTCTGGCCATACCAGCCCGTGCTTCCTCTCTATGCTGCCTCGTTCATGAAGAAGCCCCTGGGCCCTCTCGGAGACAGGCGCTGGGCCAGCCTGTGGACAGATCAGGGGAAGCAGGGCCGGGCCCAGGTACCCTACAGGGACACACTGGGCATTTCTAGAACCTGCAGAGAGCAGACTCTGCCTTCAGGGACCCCCCCCCCCGCTACCCCCACCAATCCCCGCACCATTGCCTTTTAACATGGAGGAAACCGCCCTGCTTTTTGGCAACCCCAGCCACCCTCCAGGACACGCCGTCCACAGGAGCGCGACACCCTTATGCCTCCAGGTTTCGAGATTTAGCGCACCCTCAGGGATGGACCCCGCTGACACAGGAGGTGGGGATGGGCCTCCTGGGCCTTCCTGCCGTGTGTGTCCTTGGCTCCAGTGTCCTTCGGGGAACAGGGACACCTAACAACCCTCCTTGGAACAGATGATAACTTCCAAAGATGTGAAGTCTAACCCGTAGTGAGGACTCCTCGTGTCCTCCTCATCCTCCTCGGCAGAGAAGGACATGACCCCAGGGCTCCTCCCGCCAGGCCCCACCCAGCCTCGAGCTCCCCACCAGGTCGGAGCTGGGCTTCCCTCGCCCTTCACCGATAAGTCCTGTCAAGTACCATTAGAAAACACAACAGCTGAGATGCAGGAGAGTAAGGCTCCACCTTGAGAGAAAAATAGCAAGAAAGGAACATTTGTGGAGCTTCTCCCAGGCCTCAGCCACTGTTCAGAGCTCTTCGCCTCATTTAATCCTCAGAGCAAACCTATTGGGAAGAGTTGGCATGATCCCAGTTTCACCGAGAATGAACTGAGAACAGAGAGGTTAAATAACTTGCCCAAAGGCACAGAGCTAGGACGCACAGGGACTGGGCAGATGTCCAGGTGGCCTGGCTCCAGAACCTCCCAGTTGACTCCCATGCTCTGCTGCGGCCGCCCAGACTGCGTGGGCTCCAGGTTCCTTACGGCAGATGCCACTACCCCCAAGGTTTCAAAATAACCCAGGGGCTGAGCTGGTCGGTGTCCCACACGAAGGGCTGTTGGCAGATGCCCCAGAGTATTGTTCAGAGGTGGCTGAGCAGAGGCCAGGGTTCCCTCCTCTTAGACACCCAGACAGTTTGGGCTGAGAGCATGTAAGTGACTCACCCAAGGCCTCCAGCCCTGGGTGTCAGAGCCAGAGTCCACACCTGACTGCAGACACTGCCCTGTCCACACCACCTTCCCATCTTGCCTCTGTGGTGGGGAGCAGGGGTGAAGGGCAGCCCAGGGGGCTGGGAACCCAGTCAAGCACTGCTGAACTGGGTTGTATCCCAGCCTGCTGGCCATGGCATCCATTGCCGAGGAAGCAGAAAGGAGCAGGGGGCTGCTGGTCCCCCAGCCCCCCAAACCCTACTGTGGGAGGAGTGAAGGGTCTGGAAGAGGCCCAGGGCAGTCAGGGGTGTTCCTGCTCCCGGTCCCAGACATTTGCATGTCAGCAGGCCTATGCATGCCCCAAGAGGAGTCCACCTGGATCTGGGTATGCCTGAGAGGCCTCTGGGCTGTGAGAGAGAGCAAGAAGGAGGCGGGCCCACTCAGGTGACTGGGGGGAGGGGGACACCTAGACCTGGCCCCTGGTGACAGCACCTCCCCAAACTCCCAGTGCCCCCTGCCCCTACTGAAGGAGTCTGGAGGGTCCTGTTACTGAACTAGGTCCGTTTTTGTCCGCCGCCCAGAAAAGCAAACACCGCGACGACAAAATTGCAGAGAGATGGTTTAATCACAAGGCAGCCAAGTGAGGAAAATGGGAGAACCAGTGTCAAATCTGCCTCCCTGAAAATAGGGACTCAGGGATATTTGTGGGATAGGGGGCAAGGTGGTCTGAAGTGTGGAGATAGATGATTGGAGGTGAGGAGAGGTGAGGTAATTGATGATCTGCGCAAGCGTAGTCAGACTTCATGCTTCTTCAAAGGACGCATGTTCACAAAATGGCAGCGTTGGCATGACCCGAGGGTGGAGTTTTTAGCCTCTTGATGTCAAAAGGTCACTTATCGGACATCTGCGCTGGCCCAGTTGATGGGTTGGTGGTCTCAACCGGCCTGAAGTGGACAAGGGGCTCTAATTCCTGAAAAACAGCTCAAACACCCATTACCATGGTGACCCAGGCTCCAGGGAGATGTTATCTATAGGAACCTAGTGGGAGTCAGATAGCATGTTGCCCAAACATCACAGTTAACAATGGGCGGGAGGGCTGGCCCCATGGCTTAGCGGTTAAGTGCGTGAGCTCCGCTACTGGCGGCCTGGGTTTGGATCCCGGGCGCGCACTGATGCACCGCTTCTCCGGCCATGCTGAGGCCGCGTCCCACATACAGCAACTAGAAGGATGTGCAGCTATGACATACAACTATCTACTGGGGCTTTGGGGGGAAAAAATAAATAAATAAATAAATAAATAAAATCTTTAAAAAAAAACAATGGGTGGGAGAACTACTAAACGCTACAATCAGTGATTGCAAAAAGGATAAAAACATTTAGTTCCTAGCTACTTAATCATCAACTGCTGTTTGCAGGTTTCAGTCCCTGCTGCTTGTCCCCCACCCTAGACACATACTCAGGGCCTGTTCCTGGGGTCAAATGTCAAACACCAAGTTCTGCCCAGGAACCTCTTCCCCACCCACAGGCACCTGCAGTGTGCCCTTTGCCTTTAAACTCCCTACTTCGCACTCTCAGCCCCGTGGGGCTGCATCTGACTTCCCTAGAGAAGTAAGGGCCCCTTCTTATCCCTCTCCTGACCTGAGAGGCCCCGGGCGCCCTGCCCCCTCGTGAAGGGCCCTTGGCTGTGTGTTGGGCACCTTTCAGCCCATTTAATCCTCACAGTATCACTTCTAGGACATTCTGTTATTGCCCCCCCCCCCATCAAGGATGGGGACATTGCGGCTCAGAGAAATGAAGGGACTTGCCCCAAGGAGTATTTGAACCCAAGAGGTCTGACTCCAGTGTCTGCTGCTTTAAAGCCACTCAGCTGTCTCCGTTTTCACCTGCTCGGCCCCGGCTGTCCCTCCCATAGAGGCTGCTGTCTCTCGGTCTTGCTCCTTGCCCACTGGGCCTGGCGCCAAATAACACCGGCAGCCCAGCGAGGAGCTAAGTGAGCAGTGTAAGAGGCCTTTCTGGCTAAAGGGACTGGTGCTACGGGCGGAATTCAGGAGAGCAGGCAGGCCCAGGGCAGGGGCCGGGCTGGGCTCCCCGCAGCGCCTTTGTGCTCCCGGCTGGAGCAGGCTGGAGGCCGCGAGGGGCGGGGCGGGGCGGGGCCGCCGCTTTGTTAGTGCGCGCTCGGAGTCGCCTCCCCCTACCTGATTTCAGCTCCTGCTCTTTCCTCTAGCCCCGGGTTGACCCTATCGCCGTTTCACCATTCCCTACGCGGGGTGTGTGTGTACCTCACTTTCTTCCCGCCTCCCCCTCCCCACCCACTATTAGAGGCAGGAGTGGACCTGCGGAGTGGACCTGGGTGGGCGGGGGGCTTCCCAGAGCTCCAGAATAGGGGAGACTCCAAAAGTGATGCAGAGCCAGGCCGGGAGAGAATCCGAGAGCAGCACTAGAGCGTCGCTAGCGGCGCGGAGACGCACAGGGCGGGTGCGGCGGTGGGCTCCAGGCTCCGAAGCCGGACTCCGGAGTGGGAGAGCGCCGGGAGCGGTGGGGGCCCCACCTCGCCCGGGAGTGCCAAGAGGTTGTGTCTCCCGGGTCGTTTTGCTGTCACCGGGACGCCTGGCTCCTCCACTCACGCGCTGGTCTCTAACCCCCTCCCAGCGCCCCCGGGTCGTCACCACGCCCCGAGCGCACCCGGTCCCGGGCTAAAGGTGACCTGAACGGCCTGCCGCTCGGCAGCTCCCTTCTTCGCTGTGTGGCCTGGGGTGCCTCCTGCCCCACTCATCGGGCTTTGATGACCGACAGCGGTCTCCTGGCCTGGGCCGGGCGCACACGGACAGCCCTCTCCGTTACTCCCCCTCCACTTCGGGCGGCATCGTCCCCAGAGGCGCGCCGGTGATCGCCCTCTACAGGGGGGGATTTTACCCTCTCCTCCCCACCACTGCGCCCGCCGGGGCCCACTGGCCGCTGGGCAGATGGCCAGTCTGCAGTGTCCAGGCCGAATGTGTGGGCACAGGCGGCTGGGAGGTTTCAGGGCCCTAGGGTTTATAGCCCAAGACACGGATTCGAGTCCCTGCCACGTGAGTTTGGGTGAAACCTAACTCGCCGTCTCTGTGCCTCAGTTTCTTCCTATAAACTGGTTAATAACACCCATTTCACGAGTTGCTGAAAGATTGTACGGAAGGCTGTAAGGCGTTGGGCAGCGCCGGGCACAAGGTAGATGCTCAATAAAAGGCTACTATTATTAATTTCAACTCCAGCCTGGAGATGCCAACCCAGCGCTCACCGGCTGGGGGATCCTCACGGTCGGGGAGAGAGGGGTCAGGCCGACGGGGTGAGGGGAGGTGTGTGCGTTCCCCTACAGCCCCCAACCCCTCTCTGGAGCCCTGATCCAACCCCTCTGCAGCCCCTAGCTCCTTTTTGGACCCTGGTTAGGGGCGCCACCTTCCCACCGCTGCCCGCCTGAGGCCAGGATGTGCTCCCGGGCCGGCGGAACCTGGAGCGGGGCCCGGTCACTCCCAGAGCCTGTCTGCTGAGAACCGCCCCGCGCCCCCCCTGGCCCCCCTCGGGGCGGGCCGGCCCTGGGGCGCCTTAAAAACCGGAGCTGACACTTCGGTCGCCGCCGCGGTGAGCAGGATCCGACGTCGCTGCGGTTACCCTTAACGACCTCGCAGACCCCCCACAGCCATGGCCAGCAAAGGCTTGCAGGACCTGAAGCAGCAAGTGGAGGGAGCGGCCCAGGAAGCCGGTGAGGGCAGCGCGCGACCTGGGGCACCTGCGGGGCACCCGGCTGGAGGCACAGGGGCAGACGCCGAGGGTCTGCGCAGCCCGAAAGTGGGCGGGCGGCTCAGGCTCGGAAGGGCTCCCCTGAGATGCAGGGACCCGGCAGGACGCCCACCCTGACCAGTCCCGAGGATGATGCCTTGAGGGAAGTCGGGGAACAGCGGCGCCCCAGGAGCCCGGGCCGCGCTTTGGGCATTGTCGGAGCCAATCTCGGGAGGCTGCGCGGGCGGGGAGCGGCCCCACCCCGGTCCTTAGGGGAGGATGCAAGTCCGCGAGAGAGTGGGCTCTGCCATCCCAAGACCCACCTCTGACCACTGGGGTCTCCGCGCACAGGACGGGATGGGGTGGGGAAGGGCTCCAGACCCCACGGGCTTTGTTTTGAATCTTCCTCCCCGCCCCGACTCCGGAAAATAATAGTTTCCTTACTTTTAAGTCCTCATCCAGAGGGTCTTCCCACCCTCACCCTGCAGGGCAGGCCCCAGCCTCAGTTTCTCCACCTCCACTTCCCGCCTCCTCAGACTGAGCTGACAGTTGGGGGTGGGGCGGGCTAGGGCGTAGGGGATGTGCTGTGAGACCCCTGGGCCCACCAGTGTCAGCTCTTCCAGTGCCCAGCTCAGCCTCCCTTGGGACTGCAGCTCCCAGTCTGTCCTGCACATGTCCTACTCAACAGACAACACCCAAACCAACCCCCTTCTTCACCAGTGCCCCAGGGAAAGCCAAGAGTCCCTATCCCTGTCCCACCTCTCTCCCCCTCCACAAACATACTACCAGGAAGCCTCTGTCTACAAGACCCTTCCTTCTAGGCTTCACTTTCCCCATCTGTAAACTCCTTCTGAAAGGCTCCTTCTCTTTGGTCCTGACTGGCTATGTCAGACAAGGACCTCTGTCTTGGGGCCTCTGTGAGCAGCAGGTCCAGGGCCTCCCTGACCCCCCACTCCTGTCCCCCAGGGTGTAAGGCAGGCCCCTTCCTGTTCAGCAGCAAGGATGAGTCAGATCTCTGCAGGCCAGAGCCACCTGTCTGCCCATGCAGCAGGGGTCCCATCTGAGCCCCGGGAAACCATGTTCACCACAGGCACAGAGCTCTGGTCCAGAGGGGGTGGCCTGACCCTGGAGGCTTCACCTCCTTTCTGCACTTCATTTCCTAAAGCCTTAAGCTGCCTGCCCACAGAGGCACTGGCATCATTGCTTGTGTGTCCTCTGGGGCAGGCACAGGAGGGAGGAGGTGGTGAGGGGACCTTGGAAAGTAGAGGCCCAGGGCACGAAAGGCGGGAATTCAGGCAGCTGAGCCAGCCTTCTGGCGGAGAAGTCGTTAAAGAGGGCAGCGTTCTTCCTGGGCCATGCCCAGCAGCAGCAGCCACAGCCCAGATGCCAGCTCCAGCCTGGCCCTGCCCTGCCTTCCTTCCTCTGTGGAATTTTCTCAGCAATCCTGGAGATGGGAAGGGAAGCAGGCCAGAGGGGAGGGGCCTACAGCTATAAATAAACAAGAACACCCCAGAGGCATGGAAAGGGCTCCTGCTCGTCACCGACTGGGCGGCCTTGGTCAAAAGACTTACCTTGATGGCATCTGCCCCTTGGGCCTGTGGGACAGACTACTCTAGAGAACAGATGTGGGGGGCAATGGTGGGGTCCCTGTGGCCGATGGTGCCTCAACGGAGGCTAAAGGCCACATCTCTCTGTTCCAGTGACTGCGGCCGGAGCAGCGGCTCAGCAAGTGGTGGATCATGCCACAGAAGCAGGGCAGAAAGGTCTGTGGGGGCTGGCGGGCAGGAGGGCGGTCAGCCCCAGCACTCTCCCCACACCACCCAGCCCTTGCCCACGCACACCCTTTCCTCTGCATCCCCTCTGCTCACACTGCCCCAGGGCCTGCTTCCTGGGGAGGGAGACCCAGGCCAGGCTCACTCCGCATAGCTCTGGTTCCCCAGGGCCCTGCCCTCACCTGCCCTCTCCTTTCCATCCCCAGCCATGGACCAGGCGGCCAAGTCTACCCAGGAAACCATCGACAACACTGCTAAGCAGGCCTCTGAGACTTTCTCAGGTCTTGGGAAAAAATTCGGCCTCCTGAAATGACAGAGGGGAGACACGGGTGACTCTCCTCCAAGCCCTGAGCTCTGGTCAGCGGCTGCCCCCTGGCCTCAGCCTCATTAAAGCACGTGTTCCTACCCTGTGTCCACTTCATGCCTCCCCACAAGCTGGGCCCAGCCGTCCCTTGCCAAGAACAGAGCCCCCATATCCAGAAACCCAGCCCCCACACCAATAGTCCTGGCACTCCATATTAGGAAACCTAGATGGACTGTTCGAGAACTTGTTTCCCATCGTCCCAACCGCGTATCCAGACGTTCCCTTATCCGAAGTTCAAGCCCCATCTAGGTACATGACCCTCCCCCGCACTATTCAGGAGCCAGCCCCCTCCCCCATCCCCAAAACGCTCCCCCAGCTCCAGGAATCCAGCCCCTCCTAGGAGGGGGATACTCCGTCCCCAGATCCTCGAGGGGGCGAGGGGCTCCAAGGGCCGGGGCCTCAGGAACTTCTCCCCGCGAGCTGTGCCGGATGGCTCGGAGCCCCGGAGCATCTCCAGCTGGGCGCTGGGACCTCAGGAGGCGGGAGTTCTTGGGGACGACGCGGAGTCTCAGGGGCGAGGCTTCTGACCCTCGTCCACCCCGACCCCGCCCGCAGGCTGTTTATGCGCCGGCCCCACCCGGCCGTGAGTCACCGGGCAAGGCGGGAAGGGCGAGGACTCTCCTGGAAGGCCCGCGGCAGGGCCGACTCGCAATGTCGGGCGCGGCTGCCAGGAGGAGCCCCGCCCACGGCACGCCCCCTGGGGGGGGCCTGCGCCGCACGGGGCCGCGCACGTGGGCGGGAAGCTCGGGGACGGGCAGCGTGCGTGCGCGCGAGACCCCGCCCTCGAGCACTCTGTGGTCTGGGAGGAAGGGCGGCATTTTCTTCTGGGAAGTACGCAGATGGACTAGGGTTCCAGCAAACCGAATTCCCGCCATCCCTCAGCATGTGCCCGCGCACGCGACACCAGCCCTGGGGACGCCCTGCAGATGGGTGACTCACAGTTGCCACCGGATAAGGCCCAGCCGTGGCGCCGGGCGCTGGCTCCTGCGGCCCCCTTCATCCGAACTCCCTGCCACACCCCAGCTAGTGAGGCCCCGTTCCCCTTCCCACCTCCACTCCTAATGATAGTGCTCTCTTTGGACGAGCACGTACGAAGTCAGGCCGTTTGTTTCACAAATATTGGTTACGCGGAGCTTCCCAGCGACGGGGAGATTGAGAGGAAAAAGCATCGTCTTTCCCACGCTGACAAGGCTGGCTTCCTGGGAGGCCTTCCACGGCCTGCCGGCAGAGGGCGCTGACCGCCGCCCCCGCCCCCGTCCGTCCGTCCGTCCCACCCCCCCACCCCGCTCCAGCTTAGGTCTCGCTGAGGGTGACGATCTGCACAGGTGACCTTTCCCTTCTGCAGTCTGAGATCCTTCCCAAGCGGACAACAGGTCTCCTCACCCCCAGCATTTCTTCTCCCACCCTTACCCCAGTGCCATGCTCAGTTCCATGCTTGGTTCCTTGTTGCTGACTGTCCCCCAAAGAAGGCCTCCCCTAGTCTGCACAATGGGCCACGGCTGCTCCCTCTGGCCCAAACAGAAGGCCCTTAGACATCTAGGGCACTCTGGTGGCACTTCCAGCATCTCCAGGAGCTCCCTGCCTCCAGGAGCGGATGCCAGGGTGGGCAGAGATCCCCTGGGGCTGTACCGGGAGGTAGAGCTGGACTGGCGGAGCCCTCCCATCTTTTCTGGTGTGCATCCTTCCCCTGCGTGTCCCAGGGAGAAATCCTAACTGGGCCAACAATCCGTCTTCATCCTGTTCTCCTGAGTGATTGCCAGGTCTGGCTAAGGAGAGGAGAGGTCAGGCCTGAGGGCCAGGGGGCTAAGAAGGAGTCCCTCTTCCAGTGGACATTTTTGTGGCTGGAAATGATGCTTAGAACTGTGGCAGCCACTTGTAACCACAGAAGGAACAAACCTAAGGAAAAGCCACTTTGCTGATCAGGGCAGAGCAGAAATGTAGAAAGAACCTGGGTCCTGGGTTCCTTCACTCAGTCTGTAAATTAACCAGTTCTACAGCTGCCGCATGGCTAGGGGAGAGCCGCTGTTTCCTCATTGTTGGAGCTTCTGTGCCTTAGGTTTTCTGTTGCAAACAAAAGCTTAAATCCTCTCGATGTTACCTGGATGCCAAGGTTCTGCACTTGTCAGCCTCACCTACCTCCCCAGCTTCTTCTCACAACACCTTTCCCAGGGGAGCCTAGAGGGGCCCAGGCCTGTCTCCATGAGGTTCATGAAGCTAGTTGAGCCCAGCGGGGCTGAGGAGAAGGCAGCTATGGCCACCACACCTTTTGGGTTCTCGGTTAAGTCTCCAAAGATCAATTCTTCCATCAGCAGTTCCCCAAATCCCCATTCCCCTACTGCCAAACACAATCACTAACATTGCATTTGGTTCCCCTTGTGGGCCTGCATTTGCGGTGGAGGGCTTCTCCTTAAATGGATCTCTCTGGATGGTGTCCCTTTCTCCCGTCTGCCCCTTGTCACTGCTCCTTTTAAGTCAGTAGGATGAGCGTCCTTTGAACTGGTGTCTGTGCTCTTATATATGTTGAAACATTTACCACTTGGCTTCTCAGCTCTGATTCCCATCGAATTACAGATGAGACAAACGGCAGCGTTTTCTACTTTCCATCTCCTCTTTTTTTGTTAGTTGTCTCATTTCTACTTTGTGAAAACATGTAGCATTTACATTCCATTCCTCTCCCCAAGCCACACCTTTGTTTTGTCTTAGATCTGCAACTGAAGGTGTTAAAAGCTCTCTGCCATTCCTTTTGCTGAAGTATTTTCTGCTGCCTCTAGGTTGGTTGGAGTTAGTCCTCTAGAAGTTTCCTCAAGAATGAAATATTTACAGATGAACTGAGAAGACATCTGGGATCTGAGTTAATAATTGTTGTAGCTAGCCCCCTTGGGTTATTGCAATGCATCCATGAGGGTTCATTGTGTTCTATTTTTGTGTATGGCATTTTCTATTTTAAAAAGTCAAAACAGAAATAAAAAGGAAGGACTCGTGTGAACAGTATTCTGAGTTCTTAAATGTGTGGTATTGTTGGTCTATAACATTAATACTTTATCCTTGGCTGGATTTGAAATTTTCAGTTCATGCATTTTCCCTTGAGTGTCTTCTAGGTGTGGCTTCACCGCCTTCTGGCACAGAAGGTTGAGCAGTCCCTGGAAATCTGATTTCTAATTCTCTGGAATTTCTAATAAGTGACTTGATCTTTCTGGTTGGCTGTCTTTCTTTATCTGTAAAGTACAATACTTTTTCTAGGGTTTGTCTCAGTGATGATTGTTCTGGTTCAGTTTTCCCTAGAATGCAATTTGCTCTTTTAATATTGATTCTAGATTTCTTTTATTTCAGGAACATTTCTTAATTGTATTTTTAAATATTTGCTCTATTCCACTGTTTGCTTGCTTTCTTGGAATCCCGATGATGGGCCTGAAGTTCTTTTCTACCTGGTTTCCACATCTGCCATTGTCTCCCAAACACTATGTATCTCTTTAATATGATTCCTTTTTTTTTCTTTGCTTTTCTTCATTTCTGTTCCATAGGCACCTACTGGGGATCCTTATAGTTTCATCTTCATTTCTACAATGGTTTGTTTTATCTTTTTTCTTCTATTTCATTCTTGAGATATGTAAGTTCCTTTTCTGCCTGCTCCTGTCCTCTGCCATCTCTCCCCAGAATTCTGTACCTCTGTTTTGCAGTCTTCCAGCTTTGTTTAAGGTCTTATTATTATTTAAAGTCTTATTATTGCTTAAAGTCTTATTTCCTTTTTAAAATTCGTGTTGGAATTTAATTCATGTCAGGTAATAATATTTATGTGCCTTCTTTGAGGTAACCTTTTCTGGTGGGATTTCTTCACCATTTCAGTATTCTTTTTTCATATTTGAAAAATAAATACATTTTTACTGTTCAGTAGAAAAAAGCGAAGTACAAAACTGCGTATCTATGGTATGCTTTACTTTCTGTAAAGAAAGAAGGAGGATGTAAGGCAATACACACGTCTCTGCATATTTGTGGAAAGAAAACACGGGAGGATAAACCAGAAGCTAAAGAGATTGGTTACCGACAGGGGCCAGGTGGGAAGATGGTGGAAGGAAGCGAGAGTGAGCACAGGGTAGCAGAGAAGAGGAGAGAAGGACACTTCTCTGAGTAGATATCTTTTTGTGTAGCTCTGTGGATTGAAGAACCACAGTGATGTTTTGAGTACTCCAAAATAAACTATTAAAAGCAACTAGAATGTGGGAGGGGGGAACACAAAATGGAAAACGAACACTAACAAATGATCCTAACTCTATTACAAATGAAGACAATGACCACGCTGACAGGTGGGAAAGGAAAGAAAAACCTCAGTAGCTTTGGAAAATAGTATATTGATTGGATTCTGTAAGGCTAAAGGCAAAAAGAACTGTACATAAATTCTGTAATCAGAAATTTGCGGGCCGGCCCCGTGGCTTAGCGGTAAAGTGCGCGCACTCCGCTACTGGCAGCCCGGGTTCGGATCCCGGGCACGCACCGACGCACCGCTTCTCCGGCCATGCTGAGGCTGCTTCCCACAGACAGCAACTAGAAGGATGTGCAACTATGACATACAACTATCTACTGGGGCTTTGGGGGGAAAAAAAAGGAGGAGGATTGGCAATAGATGTTAGCTCAGAGCCGGTCTTCCTCAGCAAAAAGAGGAGGATTAGCATGGATGTTAGCTCAGGGCTGATCTTCCTCACAAAAAAATAAATAAATAAAATTTAAAAACTGTTAAAAAAAAACACAAAAAATGAAATTTGCTGTGGTCAGTAAGTGTGTTTCTCACAGGATTGTGGGTTAGCAGTTCTGAAACAATGTATATACTAGAATTTATGAATGTACTAGAATTAGATGCATAAGTATATATATTTTAGATAAGAAGAACTGAGTTTGTCACTGTTGGAGAAAGAAATTACAAATAAGGAATGGGGAACACTAAAATGAACCCTGTGGTGTTGGACTGGAATCTGAGGTATCAATATATACTCATGGTTTTTAATTACATATACTGATAGATATAGAAATATATATGTGTTTGTATGAG